GGTCTAAATCATGTTCTCAAGGGTAGAAAATTAGGGATTTGGGTAGAGTTAGGACTTTTTGCATAATTGGGATTTAGACCTCGTTTTGGGATTGGATTTTGGAACTAATCGCATTTTCGGGCTCGTGGCTGAATGGGTTATCGGGTTTTGGTCGGAACCTCATGTTTTGACCAAGCAAGCCTGGGGTCGATTTTTGACTTTTTGGGAAGAATGATAGAAAATCTATAATTAAGCATTGGAATTGGATTGTTTAGCGTTTATTGATGTTATTAAGTCGATTATGTCTAGATACAATTGATTTGGAGCCAAATTCAAAAGGAAAAGCGGTGTTTGAGGCTTGAGTTGGCCGTGGAAGTTCGAGGTAAGTGTTTGGTCTAACCTTAGCTTGAGGGATTAGGAGTTGTGTCTTATTTGCTACGTGTTAACTATGGAGTACGACGTATAGGCATGGTGACGAGTATCTATACGTCGGTGTCAAGCATGCTCGTGAGTCTTGTATTGTAATTGTTATGACTCTGTTGTGGTTTATTGCGCTTCATATGAGGATTATCATTATTGTTCCCTTGCCGGGATGTAATGGTCATATTATTGTTCCCTTGTCGGGATGTTTGTATTGATATTATTGTTTCCTTGCCGGGATATTGTTGTAATATTATTGTTCCCTTGTTGGGATGTTGTTATATTGCTATTGTTCCCTTACCGGGATTCTTTTATAATTGGTGTTGATAAATGAAATGGGAGCGGGTTGCATGCCTGCAACTGTAATATATGAAATAGGAGCGGGTTGCATGCCTGCAACGGTATCATATGAAATGGGATCGGGTTGCACGCCTGCAACGGTAATATCTGAAATGGGAGCAGGTTGCACGCCTGCAACGGTATCATATGAAATGGATCGGGTTGCACGCCTGCAACGGTATTAAATGTGTACCTGTTCTTCTATTTCCTTACCTTTGCTGGTAATTGATGTATGACATTCCTTATATTTCTTTAATGTCGTTCTGTTGTTACATGTTACTCCCCGTAGCATGTTTTCCCCGCCCAGCTTTAGTTGTAATTATCTGCTTCTATTTCCGTTATATATGATTTAACTGCACAGGTTTATTTGGTAGTCTGGTCCTAGCCTCGTCACTACTTCGCCGGGGTTAGGCCAGGCACTTACCAGCACATGGGGTCGATTGTGCTGATACTACACTTTGCACTGTGTGCAGATCCCGGAGCGACAGTTTTTGGACCATAGCTTTGGTTGGCTGCCTTCAGTTCAGTCAGAGATTCGAGGTAGTCTTGCAAGCGTCCGCAGACCCGGCGTTCTCTTCTATCTTTATATTCTGTTTTCATCTACTTCAGAGACAGATTGTACCTTTCTTTCGAGACATTTGTATGTAGTATGCGTAGAAGGTTCATGATATTGTGATACTGGTTCCGGGTAGAGGTGTATGTTGGTATTGTCGTACATGTTTTTGGCTAAGTCATCAGATTACGTCTTCCGCATGTATTTACTTATCGTTAATTTTTCACTGTTGATCTCGCATGTTGATTTAAATTGTTAAAAAGAGCTAAATAAAAGAGTTAGTGAATCTATAATGCGCGACTTGCCTAGCTTTCACGAGTAAGCGCCATCACGACTCCCTAGGGTGGGAAATTCGGGTCGTGACATAAAAATATTTGCCACATGTGGGGTGCAAAAAACGAAAATAGAAAATTGAATATACAAAAAAAAGGTAAAAAAATAATTTTTTTCTTGGGGGAGAGGGGGGAGGGCATTGGGGGTCTGGGTGGTGCTTGCTGTATAAACAAATTATAGAAAATTGAAAATACAACGAAAAATTGAAAAATCGGGGAGAGGGGTTAGCAGGGTTGGTGGTGACAGAAAAGAAAAAAAAACTGAAATTTGAAAATATGTCTTTTTGGGGAGAGGGATTGGGAGAGGTGGGGTAGGGAAGAGAAGTCGGAGGGGGTTAGGGTTAGATGTGAGAATACGTGGAGTTTTTGAAAAATATTTTCCTACTTTTTCCACGAAAGTCATTTTTCTCCAATTTAAAAAAAAATATAATATCTAGGAAAATATTTTTCAAACTATATACAACCAAACAGTGAAAAACAAAAAAATATTTTCTAATCATACCAAACACACACTAAATATCTTTAGTTTTCCCAAAAACTTATGAGCCACTTGATATAAAAACTTATTTTTATCGAAGGAGTGACAAGAGAAACATATTTGAAAGTTGAACCTCTCATTATACTCAATCAAACACCTTCGTGTAAATGAGATACTTTTCGGTGAAGAGTATCGGCTCGAGCCTAAAGCAAGTAAAATACTTGCTTTTAGGTTCAAATTTGTGAGGCCCCCAACTTACTAAAATTCTTTTATATGATGTATATAATATATAATTTATTTAATATTTTTGCAATATAAAAATATTAAACCTTTACTTCCATATATTAATGCATAATAAATTTTGCTTTCTCTCTCTCTCTTTCGTTAATTCTTACTATTTAAACAATCTTAAATTAGCCTCATTTCAAGTTCAGATTGTTATTGAAATTTTAAAAAGTTCAAAATTAATTCGAGGAATATTTCAAGTGAAATAATAATTTTACTCACAAAATTCAATAATTTTAAGTGAAAAATTTATGTCCAAAGAATAGTTTTAACTTCCAAATATCTTTCTCAATTTCAACTTCAAAAATTTACATACATGTTAACAACATGTCTAATTTGATTAATGTAGTCCATAACTCCATAATAACTTAAAGTTCAAAGGAGAAAAAGATAAATTTGGACAGGAAAATACGCACAAAAAACAAAAGGATAAAAGCAAAAAACGAAAAATAGCAAGAACTATAGTGGTTGATGGATTTTCTATTGTTGTAGCAACGTGCAGATATTTCCCTTCGAAATCTGTAGCAACTAAGTTTCTAACAGTTCTCCTCCAGATAAAATTTTGAGTGCAAATAGAAAAAAGAGGGAGGAAACCCCTTGCTTAATGTTCAAGCAACAAAGTAGAGGCAGAAGTCAGTTGAAATTCGTCGAGAAATCTTTTCAGTTATGATATGCAATCCATGATGCCAAAAGCTCCTTGCTTAAGGTTGCTCAAAAGAGCTCTCTCTAATTAGGTGAACCAAAGTACCACTTTAATGAAAGGAAGATAGATAGTCATGGCGTTTAATTCGAAATAGTGAACTTAAAGCTTTCTAAACAGTTTATGCAGAAAAATTTCATATGTTTCTAAAATTCAAAGGGAAAAACGAAATGCAATAAAAATTCAGGTATTCCATAATAATTACTTTTTAGGAGACAAGAAAATTATTTACCTGAACTGATATAACAGATAAAATTCTAGCTAGGTGCAAGGACGCCAACTGCCAATGTTTATTGTTAAGTAAAAGAAAATTTAAATGATTTAATATTTATAATACTCCATCCGGTTCACTTTAATTGTTTTCACACATATTGAAAAATTCATCTTTTAGCATTAATTAATAATAAAATTGATCATATTGACCTTAGTTTATTCATGAAAATACCACAAATACTCCTAAGTTCTTTTATTTTAAGGGAAACTTTAGAAAAAAAAGAAATTAAATCTCTTGATATATGAAAAAGCAAGATATTATGGACCACAAGAAAAGGCAAAAAAATCAGTGGAGCAGAGGCAGTATAATCAACTAAAAGAGGTAATGGAATTCATCTCTTTTTCTTTTCTTACAAAATATGAGCAATGTATAAGTTAGAATGTTTAACCATTTCTTTTATAATCGTCTATGAGACATCATATACAATAATTATCGCAAAGACAACCTTTTAATTTGCCATTGTCTATTATTACCTAACTTCAAGATCAATATAAAGGTTAGAAAGTTTACCTCGAAATCACAAACAAGTTCATCTCACTAGCAAAAGTTTATGATAAAGAATGTGGAATAGTGGCTTCTTTTATAGATAGATGTGTTCAACTCCTCGTTTGAAGTGATTTTGGTTTTAAAATTCTAGAAAACCAAAAATTACTTTGCATCCTACGACAATTTTGGTAAAAGAATACTAAACCATAAGTGATATTAATTGCTGGGTGATTTGATGAAAGAACCCTAACCTTAAAGTGACATTAAAGTGGTTTTTTCACACTATAGAAATTATTGTACAACCGTAAGTAAATATTTGAAATATATATTCTTCAATTTGTATTCTCCATTCTTTCTACAAAGAACTTCAGTTAATTGAATGACCCACTACGTTGGTAAAATATAGTTTTAAAAAAAAATATCAACGACAATTATGATAAAAGAATACTGCGTAAAACTAAAGTGACACTAATTACCCGCCAGTGGTGGTAAGAAAATCCCCAGCCAAAAGTGACTTTAATTGCGGGTGGAAAATTAAAGACATTAAAGTGACAGTTTGGTAAAAAATCCTAAGCCAAAATGACTTTATTGCGGATGTTAAGCCGAGCATTTTTCACACTATCATTTAAATTATTTATATTTACAATTATAATAATATAGGATAAAAAAGGCGAACGATATTTCGCTAAGGCATTCATGCTTTTAATATAATATATAGATATAGATATAGATGTGTGTGTAGAAATGACATGGCATATTTAAGATCAAGATTCAAAGGATATTTAAGGCATATATTGTAGTTTGGCTTTAAGCATCAATTTTATTGAGCCATATCCCTAGACCGACATGTTCAAAGTCTTCTTCGATTTCTTAAACTTTGTAATCCGTCAAACAACTCAAATGAGATAGGAAAGTAATTGATAACCTTATAAAAATGACAACTAGTATATTATAATATGTAATGCTACACTAATTGTGTAAACAAAATATTAAACCATAAATTTTAAAATTTCCCCTTAACCTTTGAGTAGACACACAGGATTTACTTTTATACCCTCTTCCTTTCTTTATTTATAAATTATATTTCAGTTATCTCACAAGTTTCTTTTTTCCAAATATCACAACCCTGTTGCTACAAGGAGCTTCTACAGATGCACCAACAAAAAAAGTTAGGTGCTGCTATATATATCATTCAGATATGACAAACATGAAACTTTAAATTGTGGCCAATAAGAACATCCGCAGTAACCATTACAGCAGTGAGAAGGAGGATCAAGTCATCTCAATCATTTATCACTTACCTGTGGTACATTACTTGTGTGAGGAAACTGCATCAACTCCTCAGCAATCTTAGTGGCCTCGCTTTTACTAACCTTTTTATCTACTTCAATGATTATCTCCTGCAGAAAAGGTGCAGACGCCAGCAATAACCTTACAAACAGCACTTCCACTCTTGAACCATGGAAGTAACATATTCTCAGAGCTTGAAGGTTATTGAATTCACCAATCCTACAGCCTTGTCCTTCAAAATGATTTACATCCACTTCCCCAGAGCCTTTCTTTATGTGACTCAACTATAAGTAGTATAAAGGAAAATTAGTACGATTTGCACCTCTATACTCGGTAAAAGATCAACAACTCATGAATTCAACAACTCACCACAAGTACAAGCGACTTCAAATTAGGAGAACTTCTAAGAATGCATAGCAATGAGCAAACTTGATCTTTGTCATTAAAATCGTAATCACAAAAGGCGAGGTCGTGCAAGTCATTGAGCCTTGTTGAGAGCAACCCTGCTACATTACCAGAGGACAAAAACTAGACAGCCAAAACAAAAACAAAAAATGAACCCACAGAAGAATATTAATATACAAATATGTACGTCGTCTGACAAGAGGGGTTGCTCTGATGGTAAGCAACCCCCACTTCCAACCGAGAGGTTGTGAGTTCGAGTCTCCCCAAGAGCAAGGTGGGAAGTTCTTGGAGGGAAGGATGCTGGGGGTCTATTTGGAAACAGTCTCTCTACCCTAGGGTAGGGGTAAGGTGTGCGTACACACTACCCTCCCCAGACCCCACTAAGTGGGATTATACTGGGTTGTTGTTGTTGTTGTTGTTGTTGTAAATATGTACGTCGTCAACTGAGCTATGCAAAGATACAAATTTCCATCTTACCTTGATGAAGTATCTGTCCAGAAGAAGTTTTCTAAGTTCAGGCCAGCTGCTGAGAAGTTTTATCAAGTTAATTGCTTCATGTTGTCCATTCTGTGGAACTTCGTCTCGTGATATAACTGCAAAACACTGCAGCTTCCGACAGTCCATAAAAGGACCCAGTTTAATCGTTTCAATGTCACAGCGTACAACTTTTAAACTTAAAAGTTCTGGGGCATATATATTTAAGTGAGTAAGCCCAATACATTTCTCAAACATCAGATTCTTAAGGTTTGGAACACAGAGGAAAGAAGTTGCAACATCTAACTGAAAGGTGACTCGACTTAGTGAAAGGCTTTTCAGCTTGTGGAAACCTCTAAAACTGCAAGGCGGCCTGAAAATGCAGTTTGAGAGATTCAAATGTTCTAGTTCTACACCGTACACAGAGGAAGGCAACTTATAAGGAGTATTGAGATATTCTAAACACCGAAGGGTGAGCTCCACAAGACCATTTTTTGACAAATATAGCATCCATAGATCAATAACTGAGTGCTCAGAAGGATGTATCATTGAAATATCAAGGAGAAATGTCTTAATTGGTCCATAATGCTGCAATAGAACTCTATTTATGATATCTATTGTGCCTAACTGCTTTCTCTTTATGCAGAAGTTCACAGAAATTATGAGCTTCGGGTTTGAAGCCCAAACATGTCTCCACTTACTGGACAAGACACTCATTCTTGTGGCATCCTCAACAGTCATGTACTCCTGAATCTGATTTATGACATTAATAGGAAGATCTGTAAGTCTATCAAGTTTGTCCCTTCCATCTTCAAGTCCTTTATAGGTATCTGTCATCATGATTGTAAGTCCTGACCATTTGAACCAACAAACATAAGTGAAGGTTGCATAAAAAATGCTTCACACATGCTGCATATGCAAATCCAACTTTATATTCTGGTCAAGAAAGTAACAACATACTTTAAAAGGCTTGCACAGATCAATCCAGATTCATGTCATTCTTAATAATCAGGTGGAATGAATCAATGTCAAAGGACAGCTCGTCAGGCAGGTTATATGAGCTGTTAAAAACCAATTCCCAATTGACCTTAGGATGGATTTCAAAACAGTCATCACTCCCACACATCCAATTTTTATAAAACTTATTCTACAAGTACAAAGTATGGCATGAAGAGGTTACATATCGTAAGCTTCATAGATCACAGTGTTAGGATCAAAGATCACAGTGTTAGGATCAAAACCCTGGGATATTCTGCAATCTAACAAAGCAGGCACACAACAATGGTAAATTAGAGGATAAAGAGAAACATGCCAAAGGAAATACAATGATTTACGTTGTTCGATCTACTAGACGTACGCCCATAGGTGGAGATGAACAGTTCACTAATCAAAAGAGAATATAAAAGGAAGTACAACATAACCTCACAAAACTCACAAGTAAAGAGGTTCACACAGGTGAGGGTTAACACTTTTATCTCACAAATTATTTCCCTAATCTAAAGTCTCTCAATATGAAAGGCTATAATGCGGATGCTACCAAGCGAGAAAGAAATTCCTCAATTCTATAGAAGCCTGATGTCTTTTTACTGCAAGTAAAGGAAATCGCCAATTATGATAGATCCATACTCTCCTCTAAGAAAAGGAAAATTCAATCATTGTAAATGTATTGTCCTACCTACAACAAACAGCAAAAACCCAAACATAGCAAGAAAATCAGGGACACAACTAAAACATAGGTCCAATAATTTCAACAAGAACTCTTGTGCTACACAAAATGACAAGAATAATAAGTATTTCCAACCAAAACCAGTTGCTATGACTGAATTAGGGTATTAATGACTTTGACAGCAACAAGATAGCTCATTGTTCTCCTTGTTTCCCAACTAAAATTTTGATTTTCCTTGTTTCTCAACTAAGTGACTGCACATTATCTTTCAATTTTTCTCAACAAATGTTACTTGGTCTCAATAAATATAGCGGTGTTTGACTGGATATAGAGTTTAATAAAAGAAAACTTTTGACACACAAGCTAAATATGTATAACTTATCAAAAATACTCCTAAAATCTTGTGGTCTTAAACTGTCATGTAACTTTTAAAGGATAATGTCATTAAGGGTAAAATGAGAATGCTAAAATTCAAAAAGTTCACATATAGAAAGGTATCAATCTCTTTTTAACAAACTAAAAAGAAAAGAATACATATAAAATCGAACTGAAAGAGCAATAAATAATTTACTTAGGCAACATGTTAGTATTGATTATAAGCATCCACAACCTTCATATGCCATTTTTGCTTACATAATAAGGATTTGAATGTTTCTACGCTCTAGCATCTAATATAGAGTTTCCACTCACAGGAAACCCAATAGACAAATGGGTTCTAGTTTTGATTAAATTATGTCATAATTTGGCATTGGTAAAATAAAAGCATTATTTTTCTATAAACACTTGGACCATCCCCATTAAAGAAATCAATGCCAATGCTATAATGTAGTCTGTTATAGTCTTGACGGCACAATGGAATTCGCTGCTTTTCCTTTGAGAAAGCAGCCTCAAAAGGACATAGGTTTGTTTGTTATAATAAACGTCACTTTCCAAGAAACTGTTTTCTGTGCAAAAGTCATTTCTCTGGTGCTTGGTTAATAGAAAATGTTTTTCTTTCACCAAAAGGGGAAAAAAGACTTCGCTTAATTATGGGTGCAATTCAGTTTCCATAGAACTATCTTAATTTTAGATTCAAACCACTTGCTCTGTCTACCTGGTAGACATTGTTATCAAACTTATACAAAAAAAAAAAAAAAAAAAAAAAAAAAAAAAAAAAAAAAAATCCTCACAACACTACTCTATTTGCTAATATTAGTATTAATCTTTAATATATATTCCCTTATTTCTTGAATTAATGGAAAAAGAGGGTTTTCGCTGCACTCAATGATTTACTACCCTCCATCCAATTTTCAAGAAAAATGGGGACCAATGGTTTAAGTTCTTCAGCTTTTGAAGACCTTCATAATCGGAATTTTGATATATCCATGCAAGAAATCAATTTCAGAAGCTCTTGGATTAAAGTACTAATTATATATGACTAAGAGTCGAGAGAACCAAAAAATTCTTAACTGTAACATCACTTATCGAAAAAAACAAGGAAAAAAATAAAAAGAAACCAACCTCAAGGCGGCGGTGAAAGCACCGGGGGAGAGAGAGAATTGGTTGATGGGGGCGAGGCGACAGAGAGAGGATTCTGGAGGAGCGGTGCTGGGTAGTGAGTACTGAGTAGTGACGAGCGAGAAAGAGAGAAGCGGGCATAAATAGTAAGAAATGTTTGGAAAGCGAGCTTGTAAATGGATTTGGCGGTAATTGATTCGCCAATTAATTATTTGGTAACCATCAAATTAGGTATAAGTGAAAGGGTGTAATTACAAGAATTGGTGGGATTATACTGTATAATTACAAGGTTATTTTTTTAGTTTGTTTCCTTTTGTTTTTATTTTAATTTATTTTTATAACTTTTTATTTCTATTATTTTATTTTATTTTTACTTTAAATTTTAAAATATATTTTTCTTTGTTCATTCTTTATCTTTTATTTATCTACCTTTACTTCTTATGATTTCATGTAATATTTTTTTTTTATTTATATTATTATTCTATTTTTTTGAAACTATACCTCCTAATATCAGTGAGTCATTAACAAACTTGGCATATAATGATTATGCAATTAAAGTGGAATTTCATTGTTGAATGTGGTTATAAACTTATTATATTTCTTAATCTTAAGTTGTAGTGTAACTTACTATTATTATGTTGAAATATGACATATGTTAAACTATTTTTTTTTTTAATTTTGAAATTGTGTTATATTCATGGTTCCAATTTACTTGTATTAGTAGTATTGATTCATATTGCATGTTANGATTACTAATTAATGTATATTCACAAAAAATATACATCTTAAATACCAAATATAATATCATTTACGTTTATAAAAAATTATAGGTATATATTTATTATATTAATTTTTAGGTTTTAATAATTACTTTATTTAAAATTAAACTTAACTGTGTAATTACACTTGTGCAACCAAACAGTAAACTTGTAATTATACTGTAATTACACTATGACAAACAAATAGGTCGTTGTAAATATACAACTGTGTAATTACTAGGCTATGTAATTACTACCCTAGTAATTACACTAATTCCAATTACATGGTGGCTTTCCAAACAGAAGGTAATTGTGACTAAATTTCTCTCGTAGCTTGTTTGGATGGTTGATTGTTTCATAATGTATTAGATCATATTGTACTATATTGAATTATATTATTTAATGAATATAATAGTTGAATAAACTATATCATTTGTCGTTGTTTGATGATGTCACACGCCAATAATATGAAGAATAAACTTGCAACATTACTAAGACAAAATAGGATATATAGTAGAATTATTATATAAAAAGTAGGATAAAGAATAAAATATAGTTATTTAATAATAAGGAAGGGCAAGATGAGAAGAAAAAGCAAGTTAATGATACCACCTAAATCCGTCATTACATAATGACAGATTTAACGATACGGTACAATAAATTAAAGTAACAATCAAAATAAGTATTTTATTTAAAGTAATAATATGATACAATACAATATATAACAATCATCCAAATAAGTTGTTAGGTAGAAATGTTCTGGACACCCTAGACTTGGCAACTTTTATTTAGTTCCCTCTTAAATTTCGTGTGGTCTTTAATACCCCTCTTAACTTGAAAATTTGATGTACTTAACCCTCCTAGATGTTGATGTGGCAAAGAGGGTGAATACACTCTTTTTTAGGCGCGTTAGAGGGAAGAAAAATCAAAAACTTAGCTTCCAAGTGGGGTATTTCTCAAATATTACTGGTTGCATAATCAATAATGATTTATTTGTTTTCTATTATATTTCTCGATGTTTCTTCTTAATATACATTGCATTTTTTTCCTAATTGTATTTTTTTTAAATACAATGAATATATATTTCAGTTATGTATTTCTTATCTTTATCTGGTCCAAATCTACAAAATTTAGTTAAACCTCCATTTATTTTAGCAAAAAGAAAAAGATTTAACCAAAGTAATGAAGTTCAAATGGTATATTTTCTACAAAAATTAAAAAGTATTGTGTATTTTTATTTTAATGCAATGGCTATTTATTTAAACTACGTACTTTTATTTTTTGAGTCAAATTTGCAAATATTTGGTCGAAATTTTACTATTCTTAGCTAAAATATTTATTTAGTCAATATATGGAGTTCCAACAACGTATTTTTTAGATACAGTGATAATATGTTTTAACTGTGTATTTGTGACGACCTGATAGGTTATTTTGAGTACTAGCCTTAATTTTTGTTTTCTCATACCTCCCATAACTTTATTTGATGTTTCTTGATTTGTGTGCATGGTCCATATTGCTTTTCGGAAAACGTTTATATAAAAATTTAAAGAAATTAAATTTTTAACTAAAAATGAGGCTAGAGTTGACCACGGTCAACATTTTGGATAAACGATTCCGGATCGGTATTTTGACGATTCCCATAGGTTCGTATAATATTTTTGGACTTGTACGCACATTTGGTTGGGGTCCGGGGTGACCCGAACGCTTTTTGGTGCATTGTGAGTGAAATTGAGAAAATTGAGTTTAGGTTGAAAATTCTTGAATTTTGATGATCGATTCTTGTTATTTGATGTTATTTTGATGATTTGAGATAGCGAGCAAATTCGTATAATATTTTTTTACTTGTGTGTATTTTTGGATTGGAGCCTGAGGGGTTCGGGGTGAGGTTCAGGTGAGTTTGGTTGGTTTAGGATTGCTGGTGCAAAACTACCTCGCATTTGCGAGCTCGCTTTTACGATCAAATGATCGCATTTGCAATAAAGGTTTGGGCTGGAAGACCTCGCATTTGCGAGGTAATGTTCGCTTTTGCGAGGAGGGACAGTAGCATTTGCAAACTTATTGGCCGTTTGCGAGCACTAGGCATTTAGGATAGCTTCGCAAATACGAATAAGTTATCCGCATTTGCGAAGGAGGGCTTCTTGCATTTGCAATAAAAATATCGCATTTGCGACTTCTGTGCATCTGATGCGCTAATCGCATTTGCGATCCGAGTGTCGCATTTGTGAACAAGCATTCGCAAATGCGACACCTGCAACTGGGTAAAGAGGGAGAAAACGGGACTTATCTCATTTTACACAATTTCTCAACCCCAAACACTCTAAAGGCGATTTTTGAAGAACTTTTCTTCCCAAATTTATTGGTAAGAAACTTTAATTCATTTTGTATCAATTCTCCATTTCATCTCATGAGCTTTTAACATCAAATCTGTCACGACCCAAATTTTTCACCCTCGGGAGTCGTGATGGCGCCTACTCATGAAAGCTAGGCAAGCCGCGTAATGTAGAATCACTAACTCTTTTACTTAGCCTTTTTAACAATTTAAATTAATAATGAAATATTAACGATAAATAAATACATGCGGAAGACTTAATCTGATACCTAGCCGAAACCAGTACAACAATACCAACATATATCTCTACCCGGAATCCGGTGTCACAATATCATGGACCAACTACGAGTACTACATACAATAATATCTGGAAAGAAAAGTACAATCTGTCTCTGAAGTAAACGAAAACAGAATACATATAAAGATAGAAGAGAACGCCGGGCCTGCGGATGCCTGCAGGACTACCTCAGGATCTCTAACTGAACTGAAGGCAGCCACCCAATGCTACGGTCCAAAAGTTGCCACTCTGAAATCTGCACATAGTTGTGAGCACGTGATTTTTTTCCTACATGAAAATAACTCAAAATAGACCAAAAATAATTTTTATTGATTTTAGGAATTTTTCTTTATTTATTTGCATTTCATGCATTTTTAATATTTTTAAATGATAGAAAAATCCTAAAAATTGTCATTTTTACATATTTAACTTGTAGTCTTTAAAATTATCATTTTTAGTTAATTAGTTGTTTTAATGTTAAAAATAAATAAAGAATTATAATTTCTACAAAAATAGATTAATTTAGGATTTTAATTAACTAAAGAAAAGAAAAAAAAAGGAGAAAAGGAAATTAGGAAGAATATATTTTTGGTCTTGTTTCTTCTAAAATTGGGTCAATTCCAGAAATTGCCCAAATTAATTTTAAATCCCAACCCAATTCCAATACCAATACCCATTTGACCCATTACCTTTTTTTCCATTTTTTACCCTAATTCCTCACATAAAAGGGGAGCTAAGGCAAAAAAAAGATCAGAAAAAGACAATTGGAAAGAATCCTTAGTTAGCGGCGCACCCTCCCCTCCCTTCTTCTTCTTTCTTCATTTCTCCAATCCACCCAGACATTTTGACCTCACTCTATACACACAAAAACACACATGAAAGGAGAAAGAAAATAACAGAACTGGAGAAGGGAGACAGAAATCAGGAAAAATTTAAAAAAAAAAAGAAAAAAAAGAAAAGAAGACCTCCATTGGTAAATATGTAATCCCAAGGCTGAAGAGAAATATAGAATACAAGTCCTTTTTATGTCAATCTTTGCTTAAAATTTCACATAGAAGAAGCAGTGTTATTCCCCATCAAATTGCAAGGTTTTCATTCATATTTCTGGGTTTTCAAAAATGGATCTAGCTCAAGTTTGATGTTGTCTTGCTATTTTTTTTTATTAGTAGCTGAGCTCCATCTACAGTTCTTCGATCTTTATTTGGTCCAAATATCACTTCTCTTTCCAAGTATTTTACCTACAGTCTTCTTTGTAATTTCGGAACATGTGAAGTATAATAGCAGGACACGTTTGTATTGAAATTGGATGTGTACTAGTGTATTTCATTATCATAACTTGATGGATTTTGAAAGTGAAAACCAAATTTCAATTCCTGTTTGCTTTGATAGCTTTATTTGGATTGTTTAATGACTTGAAGTTGGTTGGAATCACCTTAGAGTTATGGTGAAGATAATGTATCGCAGAGCTAAATATCATTCGAGCTGGCTCGACTATCTAGTTAAACAAATCTTGCAAATATCTATGGGATCCAATGAAATATTTCGTAATAACCCAGTGTGAGGTTTAGAGCTTAGAATTAATTGTTCGTAATATGTATGAGTTTAGATTAGTTATTAGTTTCGGTCGTCCGTAGGAACAGTTTCGCATATTACTCTTTTAAATATTCAATCAAGTTCAAGGTCATCCAATAAGTCTTTCTCCAGTCCAACATGTTAATGATCTAACAAAAGTGTCATTCTAACACCAACAACACAACCCCCATAGTTGCTGTAAAATTAGCGCCAAAGCAGATGGGTTACTGTTGAAAATCA